TTCCACTGTATTGGATACTGGAATTAGTTATTCATTTCTCTTATCGGCCAATCATTGGAAGTTAGCCCAATTAGAGTTATTCTTGGAGTCTAAGTACCAATATAATAGATATTCGAATTGATCATGCTATTTTGCTGTTGACCGATTGGTGGGACTTAACCCAATTGGAGTTATTACTTTACTTAGAATTCCAATATACTGGATATTGAGATTAGTCTTCCCTTACATTTGGCGGTTCGTCAATATTACGTCCAGCAAGTAAACCGACACTTGGACTCCTCTATTTGACTGATTAAAATAATCTGTATTATTTTATTTTATTCCAGCTATTTCTCCTATTTTACAATATTATCTGATATTTCATCAGCGGCGACGTTTTTCGAATATTGTCTCTTACAACGACGAGGGCTATTCGAAACGCGTGTTGTTTGTATTTTCCGTTACATTGGGACTCAGCCATTTTGGACCGACAATCCACAGTAAAGCCTCGGTGATACGTTAGTATTTTGTTGTATTCTTTTTCTTTCAACACTCTTTAATTTATTCTGATTGTATTCATTGCTTTGCTTAGCATACTTTTATCTAGCATTTCGCTTATCGCTTAATTTTCTTTCTAGTTGCCTCCTTTTGCATTTTTTCACACTTCTTTTTCTTTCTTTTCATTTTTCAAGGCAGCTTCTCTTGAACATTGAGCACAATGTCAGGAACCCTGCGCAAAAGCGTAACTCCGATTAAGGCGAAACTTTTAAGATTAGCTAAAAAAAACATGGCAAGTGCCTGAACTCCCACTAGATCACTCTCAGCAATTTCAGATTCTTGACTCATACCATGACGCATTATCAAACAATATTATGAACTTACAGCAAACTCTCCAGTTAGCTAAAGAAAAACTTTTTTAGTGAGATGGGTCTGGGCATATTCCGATTATGCTGGTTTTGATCCGTTGGTTATTGCAAACACCGTCTTTAACTCAAGAGATCGATTCAAAGGAATTATGGAGGACTTTATGCTTACGTTGATAATCCTTATGGAAAGGGGCAACAACACTGCTAAAATTATTAATCGATCGTCTTCAGAATTGGCTGATGTTGTGCGCAGCTCGAGGGATGCCTACAATATAAAGGATTCGACAACAAAAGGGACAAATAGGCGTTGAGTAATTACTTTGGCTTGTATCGCAGTCATGTATTCGTGGGATTGCTGCGAAGTTATGCAGTTCTGTCGCCACCCAGTTGTTATTAAAGCTAGGGTTGATGACTTTATCAGAAGGCACAATTCTGCAGTGCCAACAGACTACCCAATTTTCATGTGTTGTTCTCCCTTCACTGCCATGATCCTAACAGACTTGAGCATAATACGCTGGTGGAGCTTTACGTAGGACATGTGGCATACCATATAGTCCTTACTCGCACTATTAATCCAACTCTTAGGGACAAGTCTCCTAAAGAGACCCTTGACTCCTTGTGGAAGCATGAAAAGTGCAATGTTAAATAACTGGGTTGAGGCGATCGTTTGCAAGAGCAGGATGAAGGAATGGAAAATCATTGATGAGGTGGGGAGAATCTCAATTTAAATATCAACTGCAAGGCGGACTGTGGAGCTGTGGAGCGGTTTATCAATGGAGCAAACTTTTAATTTAGCATAACTTATCTGGGCAACACTGGCTCGCAAAAGTCGCACGAAGCGAGAATTCTATCAGTCCTGGATTCAAAAATATCAGTTTTTTAAAGAAAGACGCATAAATTCTTGATTTTAATGTATTATATTCAAAATTAGTTATAATTTGCCATTTATTCAGCATTTACTTTTTTCATTTAAAATATTTACCCACTATTCAAGCCTCATTAGCTATTGGAGTGGCTTCGTAAAAGTTAATCATTCTGGTTATGATTTACTTTTTTGTTTTTTCATTTACTTTATCTGAGTATTGCTTGGAGCTAAACTCAAAGTTTATTTATATCTTAAAATTACAATCTTGATTTTCGAGCTAAAACGTGTGTTTCAAATTGCTCAATCAATTTTCTTCTACTTTCTTTCCTTTATTAAAATCTCAATGATGAGTTCTCATTTAAGTCATAATCCTCATTCATTTTGCCCATCTAACTCTCACGTGTGTTTATGGATCTCTAAATATCACTTATCGTCTTAATTATTTTATTGACTGATCTCTGCTTATATTTCAATTTCTTAGTGGCTTCTTGAAGATCAGGGTCTTTGGTTTTTACTCAAGTAATAAAGTGTTGCAGTGTTTATAACTTGATTGTAATCAGGTTGTTTTTTATTCTACTTTCTTTCGCTATGTTACTTTAAGGATTGAAATTAGAGATACTTTTAATAAAGTCGTTTTTACTTGAAAACATCGGTAAAAATAAGCATCGAT